GAGTAAAGCTCGTAGACGACAGCAGAGCGGAGAAACACCCGGGGAAGGACGTATGTGAGAGGGAGTGAGAGTGTGTCACCTCTCTCGGCTCATGGTGGAGAGCGAGGAGTGGTGAGCTAAGGACTCTCGACCTCAGCAAGAGGACAGGAAGCTAGACGCCTCTCCAAACCAAACTGAGGATCTCTCTCCAGCTACCTTTGGGTCAGTGGATCCAGTGAGCATGCAGGACCGCGGGGCCTCCTTTCCCTCCATTATGGCCTCCCGCTGGACCCTACCTGGCTCTCCAATAGGTAAAGATGGCATGAGAGAGGAGAGAGTGGAAGCGAGGGTCACCAGCTGCAGTCGAATTAGTTTAATTCCTGTGTCATGGCATTTACTTTAATTGTCTTTGTTGGCAAAAGGAAAGCATCTGCAGTGACGGATATAAAGTTTACTCTCTTTTATCCCCCAATATAGATAAACTGAAACTGTCAGAAATTACAAATTAAACCTCCGTAGTCTCATTTAGACGCTCGTTAGCAACCGGCCTTTTTTAACAGACGTAAAAGCTTCAAGAAATCAGGACTGAGGTATTAACTGATGTATTTTATGTCATAGAATAAGACGTGAAAATGTCTTCAGGTCGAGGGAACAGGAAGTGCTAAAATGCGACTAATTTGCGGGTGTTAGGATTCATCCCTGCAGCGCTCTTTGTCATGATCGCTAATTTGTGAATATTTTGAGTATTTAGAAACAACACTCGTGTTGAGTAGCTGACATGACGCATGAAACTCAAGTGAGAAACAGCAGCTCACAGCTTTAATAACACACAGCCTCTTGCTGGTGGTGAGAAACAAACTGTCCCTCTGTCGTTTAAACAGCAGCGATCATGAATCAGACTCTGCACACCTGTGATTTTTTATTTTTTAAATACCTGAATAATTATAAAGATAACAACACGAGGCATTTTCCATCTAAAGCCATGAGTCTGACGTCGAGTCCCACACTGAAAAACATTAAACTCATCACCAAAGCATCACTCGCCGAGTCTGATGGACCTTTTTATTTCTGCAGCAATAAACACACAGAAGCAGTGTGAGCCGTCTGTCTGTCTGTCTGCCATCTTATTTAAGTGCACTGACTAGATCACTAGATGCTAATAGCTAATTATACAGAACGCTGCGCAGAGAGGAAATATTTTCCACCCATTTACTTTTGCTTTCAAGGCACAAAAACAACTTCTTATGTTTATCTCCGCATCAGCTTATTCTGCTTTGTTTATTACCTCAAGTAAGTGCTGTGTGTGCGTGTGCGTGTGTGTGTGTGTGTGTGTGTGTGTGTGTGTGTGTGTGTGTGTGTGTGTGTGTGTGTGTGTGTGTGCGTGTGCGTGTGCGTGTGCGTGTGCGTGTGTGTGTGTGTGTGCTGGGAAGGCGGTGTTCAGTGGGTTTATCAGAGTGTTTTCATTAACACCTGCTGCTGCTGGATTTGGGAACAACCGGAGAGTTTACGGACCGGGAAACTAAAATGAGCTGAAATATGTTAAAACATTTTGTAGGTTTAAGTTATAAAAGTTTCACCAAGCAGACTTCTGATGTCAGGATATTTAGTCCAACTCTCTCTCATGCCACTTCAGCCTAAACAATGAGTGTAAGTGGGAGAAAACAAGTTGTTCCGTCATGATATCTGAATGTAAACACAAAACACTTGATTGAACATTGTCCTCAGTAAAACTCTAACAACCTACTTAGAGTCTGGTAATGAGCTGTTGTTAATCAAGGGTGGGTGGATGAAACCGTGTATTTGAAGGTTCCCATCCTGTTTTTCTTTTTGTATTACAGCTGAAACATTGATGTATAAAACGTTGATAAAATAGAAAAGACGACTGGAAAAAAAAAAGTTTTGTAGAACTGTGGGGAGCTGCAGAGCTGGGTGGTTGTTTTTATGCCACTTCCTTTTCAACCTGAATAAACTCCTGCCAATATAAATACGGAGCGTGCAGCTTTATGTATTTTGCATTGCAGCTAAGAAGTTAAAGAAGTAGGGGGCGATTTGAATTTGTGTTTTCCCCACAAATGATCCCAAGCGTTGCAGATATAAAACCCCACGATCTCCCCGTGTGCGATTACATCAGACACACAAACAGAAACAGACCCAGTCTGACCCGACCCGATGTGACAGTGATGGAAACAGCCACTGATTCCTATTAAGTGTCGCTCTCATTGTGGAACATTGTATTGTATTATAATCGGGCACCACACCGGAGTTAACGCAGATTACGTAACAGTTTCCTGTACACGGAGGTGTTGATTGAGATGGCGAACGTCACTGTCACATGAGGCTGTCGACGGTCGTGGTTCAAACTGGACATCTGTCCGTTCATGTGTCTCTGACTTCTGAGCTTTTTTAGACTTTGGAGAAGCAAACTGAGCAACATGGAACACACACACACACACACACACACACACACACACACACACACACAGTGTTGGATGCGAGTGCCCTGCGCCTCCAGGCTTGGATGTTAATGGAGATTGATCTGCTCAGAGTAAAATTAGAAAAGATGCAGGCCGATAGATTACACATCGCTATCAGATAGTAATTAGAGGAGCTGACTCTGTTGTTCGCTCGTTAACAAAGGGTAATGGGGATTGTTTAAATTAGACGTGTTCCTAATGTTTGGTTGACTAAAACAACTCTCCGGGGGTGTCCTGTTGGTCTGAGGCACTTGTCTGATCTGTAACGTCCTGGGATTTAAACCGATGGGTGTGATGTGTGAATATGTGAGTGAATGGGTGAATGTGGCATGTATTGTGAAGCGCTTGTCACGTAGATATCAAACTATTTCTCTGAATAAGTGAAAACTTTGACCTGGTGGTGGCACCAACGTCTTTACAGTTCCTCCTCTGGGGAGCTTGAATGTAGAAAACTTAACAGTTGATGTGGATCCGATTTCAATTGTTCTGAGGTGTAACTGAACTACATGCCGTCTGAGGGCCCCTGTGGCCACCAGAGGGCCCCCAAGAGCGCTTGAAATGTCCCGTTATAGAGCTTGAAATGCTTTGTAATACATTATGTCGGTTGTAATTATACAAAAGCACAATATCATGTTAACAGGCTGGCTACTACTGATAAAACTGGTAATGGGTGCGTTAGATTTACAGTTGGTGTGAGTGATCAAGTATTGACGATGG